AGAGCCCTTCTGTTGAGCTGCATGTTAGCTACACCCAGAAAGTGCAGCTCATGTATAGGAGCAGAGTTTGGAGAGGGTCTTTTGTTCTGTAATGTTTTTCTCCTGGCCCTTGCAGTGGCAGCAGGGATGGTGATAAAGACAGGGTAGCATCCAAGGGTCATGCAGGCCACACATGAGCCAGGTGTTCATTTTGGACCTCTAGGACTGCAGGCCACCATGCTCACTTTATGCTGTGTTGGGTATTGAACCAGGATTCCATGCATACTAGATGAACACTCTGCCATCTAAGCTACAACCCTGGCCCCTCAATATATCTTTATACCATTACCTGGAGCCTAATGCCATGGTTGCTTTTCCAAGGGAAGCCATATTGGGAAGGCTCCACTCTGAAAGGCAGGGATGAGAGTGAGACATTTAAATATTTGTAATGTTCACGGATGCCATCAGCGTCCAGGTGGCCTGTCCTTTGGACAGTTGTCTTGTCTGCCTTTCATCAGGTCAAGGATTTGTTTGTGAAGATTGAAACAATGCCCTGACAGTTCAGACCTCTGGCTGGTTGCTCCTGGGGATTGTTGGTGAACCCTTGGGTGTAGCCCAGCCTGGGATGCTGTGACTTAACCCCATCTTCACTCTTGAGTCTGTGTTGACTTGTAGAGGACCTGGGACAAGATTCTATCTTTCAGGAACTACCCTGGATCCACTAATTTATCTACTAACCCAACTTAGATTCAGTAAGTATTTATCTGTCTTAGTTAGTATTTCTATTATAAAGAGACCATGACCAAGAAAACTCTTACAAAGCAAAACATTTAATTGGGACTGGTTTACAGTTTTCAGAGGTTTAGTCTGTTATTGTCATGGTGGGAAACATGGTGGCATGTAGGCAGACATGGTGTTGGAGAGGTAGCTGAGAGTTCTACACCTTGATCTTTAGGCATCAGAAGGACAGGCTGTATACTGGGTGTACCATGAGCATATAAGACCCCAAAGCCCATCCCCACAGTGACATACTTCCTTCAACAAGGCCATACTTCCTAATAGTGCCACTCCCTATGGGTCAAGCACTCAAATAAATAAGTATGGGGGGCCATTCCTATTCAAAAGACCACACTATCCATGTCATGTCAGCAATTATACGTAGGTAAGATCATTATACATGATCCTGACTTAAACGTTTACATCCACCAGGGAGAAAAATGATGTGGGGAAAGCACATGGAAATATAGGCAGAGAGTTACAGTGATGGCTATTTGGAGGAAAGCTGGTACTAAGAAGCAGAGAGAAGAGATTGGGGAGATGGCTCAGTCAGTAAAGTAGCTTTTGTTTAAGCTTAGAGACCTGAGTTCAATTCCCAGAACCCGAACATGGTGGCACATACTTATAATCCTTGTGCTGGGGAGGCAGAGAGAAGCGGATCCCTGGGGCTCAATGGCCAGACAGCTGAACTGAATGGGTCAGCTCCAGGGCCAGTGTGAGACCCAGGCTCAAAAATAAGATAAACAGCTGCTGAGGCTTAATGCTTTAAGCTGACTTTTGGCCTCTACTTGTACACACGTGCATGTGCACCTGCACACATATGTACATAAACCCACACACATGCACAGTGGCAGTGAGAAGCGAGTGGTTATTTTCACCTGAGGCTTTGTGGAAGAGTCTGGAGTTGTGAAGAATGGATGGGACCTCAATGAGTCCAGAGAGGAGGAGTATGAAGAGCAAGCAAAACAAAGCCAGGAAGCCAGAACCTTCAGGCAATCAGATGAGCCAATATTGAGGAGCTTCTTGAGTGTGGGGTGGTGGTAGGCATTCTGGAGGGATAAAGTGGGAGACAAAATCAGAAAGATGGTCTGGGCTGTGTAGGATGTTAGTGTGAGGGATTTAATTTTTATTCTGTAAACAATGTGGATGACATTTAAAAAGGAATTTATGCTGTGTGGGCAGTCTGATCAAAACTGTGTCTTAAGGGTCCTGGAGGGGTGGTGCAGTGGTTAAGAGTATGCACTCCCTCTTGCACAGGACCTGGCTCTGGTTCCTAGAACCCGTATCTGGTTTGCTCACCACTACCTGTGTGTAACTCTAGCTCTAGAGGGATCTGGTGCCTGATGTGATGTCTCTTTGACATCTGTACTCACATGCACTTACCCATATGCACATATGCAGAATCAAAACAATTAAAATTCCGTGTTAAGATTAACCAGGGAGAGGGAGATGGCTCAGTTGGTAAGAGGGATTGCCATGCAAGCATGAGGACTGAGTTCAGATGCCCCATCAGACATGGTCACGTGTCCTTATAGCCCCAGCACTGGGGCCATGGGACTTTCAGACCAACCAGCTTAGGCAGAAATAAGCCAAGCTTAGGGTTCAGTGAAAGACCCTGTCTCATGGAGATATAAGGTGGAACATGATATAGCAGGATATCTGGTGTCCTCTGGCCTTTACATGGGTATATTCATGCGCGCGCGCACACACACAGACACAGACACAGACACACACACACACACACAGACACACACACACACACACACACGTTGATTATTTAGGCTTTTCTTTTCCTTTTCTTTTTCCTCTTCTCTCCTCTTCTCTCTTTTCCTTTCTTTTCTTTTTTTCCAAGATAGAGTTTCTCTGTGTAACAATCCAGGCTGCACTGGAACTTACTCTGTAGACCAGTCTGGCCTCAAACTCACAGAGATCCACCTGCCTCTGCCTCTTGAGTGCTGGGGTTAAAGTGCATGCACCACCACACCAGGCCTGATTCTCTAGTTTTCTGTGCAATGACTGGGTTAATGTGGTAGATCTGGAGGCAGGGAGGCCAGAGTGGGGGCAGCCCTGTCAGACACTGGTTGTCACTTGCTCCCCAACCCCAAGTATGTTCTTAGGGCTGCCAGTCAGTGAGGGTATCTGCCAAATGTGAACGCCCCATTGCTATTTGGTCCTCCCACTTCTGAGAATCTCCCAGTCCAGAGCTGTTATTCTTATGATTGAAAGGAAGTGTTCTCATCCTTGTTTCCCTATTTAGAACATTGTAGTAGTCTTCTGCAAGTAATTACATGGAATATTTTCCTTTTTTTTTTGAGAGAAATTCCAAGCATTTGGGGGATTCTAAAACTTTCACTTTACATGAGTTCCTTAGTCATTATTTTTGTCTTTCATGAGTTGGGTCCATTCTTAGATTTCAGTGGCATGCTTCTCAGAAACCTTGTTAGAGATGACAGACTTCCATGTCCACTCTCAGCCTCCAGTCTGAAGTAGAAAGACACTTAGAGCATGCATCACAGGGGGACACATGTGACACACACTCATGGCTGTAGAAGACATGGGATCTTTGACCCTGTCTCGATAGATGGGGAAGGGTAGAGCTTCACTACTGCCTATACAAGGGATTTTCTCAATGTAAACCAAATGGGATAGGAATTTTAGGTCTCCAAGAGAATTTTTCCCCTTAAGTCTGTTTACAGCTCGGTGAGGAGGGAAGACCCCCCCTCCGTTAGCTTGTTTTCCTGATTTGTTCAGATGCAACAGTTAGAGCTTATTTGTCACATGCCAAGAGCTGAGCTGCCTAAGACTGTCTTGACAAGTCTGGGTTGATAAAGGTACTTGTGTGGCTTAGTGTTTTAAAGACATAGAGGTGGTCTTTGCTTAATAGATTTGCTTCCTGCAGAAATGGGCCCTCTTCTTCCAACATAGCCAAGTTAGTGATACACCACTCAGGGCTCTGTTTCTGGGGAACTCCTCCTCCCAGCCAAGCTGGAAGCTCAGTGTGTGTGTGTGTGTGTGTGTGTGTGTGTGTGTGTGTGTCTGTCTGTCTGTCTGTCTGTGGTGCAGTCAGAGGTGGCCTCATAAGGAAGGTGGCCATTTTTGACCAGTGGGGGCCATGGAGTCAGTAGCATTATAGTAGACCTCAGTCATGATCTTCCTGGCAAAACAGCTGCCATCTTCATCAGCTGAGCTGTGCTTCTTGCAAGAGTCCCCCTGTCAAGCCTGTGGACTGCTGACATTTCCTCATAGAAGGAAGGGGTAGGGTGGTCCTGGGATCTTCATCTGAGATTTGAGCTGCTCCTCTCAGCCATTTGTATACAATTGCCCCAATTGCACATGGCATCTCCAGGAGGGGCTAGAGCATACATAGGCTGGGGGAAGTTACTTAAGGAGAGGTCTTTGACTCTGCAGCTCTGGAGAAGCCATCATTGGGTGCAATGAAGACTTTCCAGCGTGGCTACTTGGGGGTTCCCCACATTCCTGAAAATAGCCCCTTAACATACTCAGAAAGAAAGCTCAGTTAATTCATTTGATGCCCAAGTTGAACTTTGGTGTAATCGTGATTTGGTTTGTAACTGGGACCTTATTATGAGGGAGTACTTTCAAAATGTACCCAGAGCATCCTTGGCTGCTGGAGCTGGAGCTGGAGCTGGAGCTGGGCAGCTGGTGGTGGTTTGCTTTTTGTTTTTGTTTTTGTTTTGTTTTGAGTCAGAGTCTCACTATGCAGCTCTGGGCTAGCCTAGAAGACCTGCTATGAAGACCAGGCTGGCTTCACACTCAGAGCTCCACCTGCCTCTGCCTCCTGAGTGCTGGGATTAAAGGTATGCGCTACCACACCTGGCCTATTGTTGTTTGTTGTATTTGGTTTTCATAGCAGGTGTTTGAAATTTCAGGGGTAAAGGTGGAGATGAAGGTCTTCCAACCCCTTGGAGAAGGCTCCTAGCTTAGCAGCAGCGGCAGCAGCAGCAGCAGCAGCAGCAGCAGCAGAGGAGTGTAGAGGACAGAGTCCTTTCCAGTGCTGGTAGCTGGGCCCCTCTACCAGATGGCATGAATGGAAGAGTCATGCAACAGCATCTCTTAAATGAATGAACAGATGAGGGAATACTGAGCTATGGATATTATTAGTAATAATAATATCCGGTTTTGGATCCTACCAATTCTCTAAGAACAATACTCCTAGAGAAGTAAAACCAGTCTCTTCCTAAGACCTTGGATTCCCCCACTCTTCTTTTTTCTTTTTTTCTTTTTTTGTAAGCAGACTGGATGTGAGATTTATTACTGAAAATGATTTGGTAGGGTACAGGAGAGCACTGTGGAAGCTTTCAGGAGTGCAGGGCTCGCCACTTGTCCAGGGGACCTCGATTAGGGATATATTTAACCCCACAGCCATCAGGAACCAGCCGTTTCTCAGCAACCATGTCTTCAAATTCATCTGCATTAAACTTGGTGAAGCCCCATTTCTTTGAGATGTGGATCTTCTGGAGGCCAGGGAACTTGAATTTTGCTCTACGAAGAGCCTCAATCACAATTTCCTTATTCTGCAGCTTGGTGCGGATGGACATGATGATGACCTGGCCAATGTGAATCCTGGCCACTGTGCCCTGGGGCTTCCCAAAGGCACCATGCATACCCGTCTGGAGCCTAGATTGAGGATATCATTGAGATCAGAAACTTGAGTAACTGAGAAAATTGTCTCCAAGGTGCCTTAGGGCAGCCCATATAGGCAATAGACTGCATATACTACCAAGGAGGCTGCTGTTTGCAACCAATGCACACCAGGCTCCCATGGGGAAAGGGACCTGATTGGCTTAATTAGCTGCAAATCCCCACTCTTCTGACTTCTATGTACTGACACAGTGTCTCTAGGCCAGACTGGCCTCTACCTGTGAGTGCTGGCAGTACAGGCATGTCCCACTACACCTGTAGGTTGTTTATGTTTGTTTGTTTGTTTGTTTGTTTTTTTGTTTTGTATTTTCTGCACTGGGGACTGAACCCAGGGCTTCATGCATGCTAGGCAAGGACTCCACCAGCTGAACTCCATCCTGTTTTGGAATGTGCTCTGGCACCTTTGGAACTCCATCAGTAGCTGATGCTAAGTCCAGTTCTATGCTCGGTGAACTCCATTTCTCCATCTCTTGTAGTTTGCATGGTGGTCCCTGTCATAGCTTCTCTAGTTTATATAATTTTTTTATCCCACTAGCACCAACACCTCTTATACCCTAAATTCAAAGCACGGGTAGGTAATCTCTGGGTCATACAATGGTAGCTCACATGCAGAGCCATGGCACTGCCAAGGATCATGCATCTGTAAGGGACTGTGCTGGTTAGTTTTTGTCAACACTATGTGAACTAGAGTTAACCTTGGAGGAGAGAACCCCAACTGAGGATATGCCTCCATTAGATTGGCCTGTAGGCAAGTTGTGGGGCAATTGCCTTGATTAACAATTGATGTGGAACAGCCCAGCTCACTGTGGGAGGTACCATGTTTGGGCAGGTGATCCTGGGAGGTATAAGAAAAGTGGATGGATGTGAGTCTAAAAGCAAGCTGGTAAGTAGCATCCCCCTGATGGTCTCTGCTTGAGTCCCTCCTCTAGGTTTCTGCCTGGACTTCCTTTAAAGGTGGACTGTGATGTGAAGTGTAAACCAAATAAACCCTTTGCTTCTCCAAGTTGTTCTTGGTCTGTCGTCACAGCAACAGGTAGCAGATGAGGACAGGCTAGGACTCACTGTTCCTGTGGACCCATGATCCAAGTACCCATCTCAGGGTCTTGTGTTGTATTTCAATGCCAAGATGCTTTCAACATCCAGAAAATCACACCAGGCATTAGTTCAATTTAGGAGACATGAGCAAAGTTCTACTCCCCTTGGCACTGTCACTGGGAAAACCCAAGCAGGCTCAGAGGCTCTGAGATGCTTACCTTTCATCCAGAGAGAGGAAGGAAGACCACAAAAGAAGGCTCCCATCCAAAGTGAATTCTTTTGTCTAGTACATGGTTTCTTTTAAATGTGAAAGTTCAAGGTTACGAAAACAAACACTTTGCCTCGTGTGTTTGTGAGTTCCGAGACGAAGATATTTCTCCATGTTTGGAGGACATGCTCAGATAATTGTGCGAATTTTTAGGCATTGTTGAAATAAGAGAGGTGCTGAGGCTACAGACCATTGCACACAGAGCAACAACCAAAAGGGCCATCACTTGCAAACACCATGTTGTTAGTATTTAAATTGGAACCCTGCCCCTCATGCTCCTGTTTTGAATACTTACTCTCCAAATGCTGGTGCTAGCTGGGGAGCTGTGGTGCCTTTAGAAGATGGGAACTGGCTAGCATGTGTAGTCACTAGAGGCTGGTCTTTGAAGGTTATAGTCCCGTCCCAGTGCTCTCTGATTCGTGGTCTGTCACATGCTCCTGCAGCCAGGAACTCTGCCATGCCTTCTGTGAGTGATAGATGGCTCCCTCTGGAATAAGCCTTCCCTCTCTTAAATTGTCTCAGGTATTCTAGTCACACTAACATGAAAATAAACTAGCAGACATTTAGCTCAATGTTTGATGGCTGGCTCAATAGAGTAAATGAACCGGCAAGCTGCTGCCAAGAACAGAGGATGTAGCCTGCCTTCTTGTAAAAGCCTTGCCTGCCTGGCTTGCTTATAACATCCTCCTTTTATTAACTTGGATTTAGATGGCATTGACTCCATCAGGCATCTTTTTAAAAATCTATTTCCTGGGGGCTGGAGAGATGGCTCAGAGGTTAAGAGCACTGACTGCTCTTCTAGAGGTCCTGAGTTCAATTCCCAGCAACCACATGGTGTCTCACAACCATCTGTTATGAGATCTGGTGCCCTCTTCTGGTGTGCTGATATACATGGAAGCAGAATGTTGTATACATGTTAAATAAATAAATAAATTCTTTTAAAAAATCTATTTCCTGGGGATTGAGGTGGTTCTTGAACTCTGCTTTAGCCATGGAAACCACGACTTCCTTTTCTTTGAAGGAAAGAGCACAGACCTTAGGATGTTTAGGCTTAGTTCCATCATAGAGTAGCTGTGTGACCTTGCATAAGGTGTTTCAGCCTCTTAACTGGAAGATACACACTAGTTTTAGGAGTGTACTCCAAGGTGAGTTTGGTTTAGTGTACTGATTAATCAGGCTTTGCTCCTGGGTGTTTGCTTGCTTCTTTTCCTCTGAACCCCTCCCCATTTCCCTTTAAACGTTTCCAGTTTCCTTCCTTGGATCTCAGTTCACATCTTGGCTTTTAACACCTAAGAGTTCTTTGAATGTGAGATGACTCTTGTGTAAATGTGAGTCAGAATATACTTAGTAGATCTGCAGTCCATTCATCCATTCATCTTGGAAGCTAAATGTTTCCTGAGTGTGTACCTCCCTTGGTCTTCTTTATCTCAGTGAGTGGCCAACCCATCCTCCAAGTTAGTCAAGTATGAAATATAAACATCCTCCAGGAGCTGTTGAAGGCACTAGAGATCTGACAGATGACAAAATGAGCTAAATATACAACAATTTATTAGTGATAAGTGTAATAAAGCAATGGAAGAGTGGGTGGAGAGCTACAGGGTGGAAGAGGCAGCTTTAGATTTGATGATTATAGAAGAGACTCAAGCACGTGGAGAGAATGGCCAGCTGGGGAAGGGCATGGTACAATAGTGAGCACAGGGGTGGACGTGAAATTGGTGGAATGGTGGAGTCAGTATATTAGCCAGGGTTCTCTAGAGTAACATATCTTAGAGAATGAACCTGTCCCTCTCATTATGCAGATCCTGTGTTGAGATTTCATGGGAGCAGCTTCCCTGTTACTGCTGGAAGACACAATCTCACAGGAGGCATCCTGGTCCTCTGGCTCTTACATCTTTTCCAGTCCACCTCAGAAGAGATGTTCCCTGAGCCTTAGGTGTGGGCTTTGCACTGTAGATGCACCAATCAGAGCTGGACATCCCCATGCTTATTTATTCTATGCATTTTGGTCAGTTGTGGATCTCTGTAATAGCTGTAAAATTCATGCCATTTTGAGGTGAAATTTCACTATGTGGTCCAGGATGGTCTACAACTCACACTCCTCCCGCCTTGGTCTCCCGAGTGCTCGAGTTACATCACACACCATCACTCATGGTCCCATATTCGCTTTCTATGGTGGATACTTGGGAAGCCTCTGGAGCATTACAAGAAGAAGAGTGACAGATCTAACACAATTGCATTGAATCACTCTTCCTGCACTGAGTGGCAGTTAGAGGGTGACTGAGCCGATCATACTACCGAGAGGTGTGGTGGTTTAGAGTAGTATGGGGAGGGATGTGGTAAGAAATGGTCACATTAGCCAGGCGATGGTGGCGCACGCCTTTAATCCCAGCACTCGGGAGTCAGAGGCAGGTGGATCTCTGTGAGTTCGAGACCAGCCTGGTCTACAAGAGCTAGTTGCAGGTCAGCCTCCAAAGCCACAGAGAAACTCTGTCCTCGAAAAACAAACAAAAAAACTAACCAAGCAAAATAACAACAACAACAACAACAACAACAACAAAATGGTCACATTCTGGACACTTGTAGATAAGCTGGCAGAGTTTTTGGATGAGTTTCCTGTGGGGCATGTGGTGATTGTGACAGGCGTCACGGGCACTGTTTGCATTTATACTTGAGAAACTTGGAGGATGGATTGACGCTTACTGAGAAACAGAAGAGGGAAGAAGAAGGACTCAGGTTGGATGTGTTCATTTGAAGGGGTTTGAAGACATCCAAGAGGTGTTGAATAACAGTTGGATGTTTGACTTGGGGGTCTGAGAGACAGGCTCAAGCTGGACGGAGACATTTCACAGTGTTCAGAATGTGGAAGCGGCTCAGTTGGTCAAGCACTTTCTGTGCAAGCATAAGGACCTGAACTCTAGACCCAGAATTCACGGGAAAAGCTGGGCATGGTGACAAGCACAGACAATCCTATCAGGGAGGAAGAGACAGGTGATCCCTAGAGCTCACTGGCTGGCCAGCCTAGCCACATCTGCAAACCAAGTCAGTGAGAGACCATTTCTTAAAAACAAGATGGCCATCTCCTGAGAAAGCAGACGTCAGGTTGACCTCTGACACTCACACATGTGTGAATCCACATGCACTGACACATATGAACAGACACACATAGATTTTCATGATAGGGAGAAAATGGTCTTCAGTGTACAGATAGCTTTTAAAACTTTGAGCTTGGATAAGGTACTTTTTTATTTTAAACATTTTTTTATTAATTTATTTTTTACATTCTAATCCCAGTTCCCCCTCCCTCCTCTCCTCCCGCTTCCCCTACCCCCCACCTCCCCTCTGCTCCTCAGAGAGGAGGAGAGGACAAGGCCTCCTCTAGGAAGTCTACTAAGTCTGTTCCATCATCTCCTTGAGGCAGGATCAAGGCACCTCTCCCCCCCACCCCCACTCCTGTGTCTAGACTGGGCAAGGTATCTTTCCATATAGAATGGGTTCCGCTAAGTCAGTTTGTGCATTAGTGTTAGATCTGGGACCCACTACCAGTGGCCTCATTTATTGTCCCATCCGCACCATTGTCATCTATATTAAGGGAGTCTAGTTCTGTCTGGATAAGATATTCTTAATGATGAGTATTTACAGAGGAGAATCTAGGTCTGAGAATTTAGCATGAGACAGTTCAGCATTTGCTCATCAGGGAGCTAGGGAGGAACAAATAGGTTTTCCCAATCCCTCTTCTTTCTCTATTTATCATTATGAAAAACAGCTATTTTATTTAATTCAATTAGCAGTCACTTGAAGAAAGGTGCTTACAAAACATCTCTAGGGTTGCTCTTAAAAAGTAATGTATGCTCTTTGCAACTTCAAAGGCTTTACAAAAGACAGCTCTATGCCCCAGGCTGGGGAGGAAGGCTGCATGGTGCAGGCAGTGACCCAGGAAGGCCAGTGCATCCCTTTCAGGATTAGTAAAATTAGGCCTTTGTTAGCATTCATCTTGTGGAATGTCAGCTCGAAAACTTCAAGAATCTTCTGCTTCACATCTCTTTCACTTCTCCATCCAACAGAAAATCCATGGGAAGCCAGGAGGGAGAATCTGAGAAAGGTTGGACTGTTCCTTTGGTGAGATAAGCAATCTGTTGTGTCCTGCAGAGTTGAAATAGGGAGGTGAAGCCCTGGTAACTGGGAATGCTGTAGAGAGACTTGAGGAGGGCAGTGGAGGGGTGGAGGGGTGTGTGTGGGTGTCTATACATTCCAGCCAAATTTACTATGATGTGTGGGTTACCTGGCAACAGAGTCCATAGTCTTCATCAGATTTCCAGGGGTCTGAGGCCCTAAAAGGTACTAAGAGAGGGCTGTCTTAGCATAGCAAGAACATGGAGGCTGTAAGACCTCCGCGGTCTTCTTACACTAAGTCCTGTGGTCCTCATGGGCTTTGACATAGCAAGTCCCCAAGCAGAATGTCCCTTAAGAAAGAATGTGGACTTTGTACTTGGGCAAGCTTCTATTTATATTCTCAGCTGCTGCCTTCTACCTTTGAGATCCCAGATGAGTGCTTAACTTCCTTTAAGCTTAATTCCTCCATTGGTAAAATAAGAACAGTAAAATCCACCTCACTTTGCCATCTGGCCACTCAGCAAACATTTAGCATGTGGTGAGAGTTTGGTAAATGCGAGGTCCTTCCCTCACTCCTTTTCAGTGACATCATTTATTGCTTCATAGCCCAGGAAAGCAGCTCATGGTGCTTAATATGATGGCCCCAGGTATCATTATGTGACCTATTAGGGTTATGCCCCCAAGGCAGCTCATGGTGTATGAGACCTGATTAAGCACACACTGGCAGGTTGGATTTCTCCTGCCAGTTTGAAAGAAGGCATAGACAAGCCTGGAGCTGTAAGGCTATTATGGGCCATAGCCAGACGAGTGTGCAGCTAAAGAAGGGACAAGGAGAAAAGGAGTGGGGGAAGATAGCATAGTCTGTGGGAGACAGCAGTAGCCAGGGTTCTGACAGCATTCTGCTCCCCTGGGGTCTGTGTGCACTTCCTCTCTTGTCCTTAGGCCTGTGGAGATTGAGTTATCCTTGGCACATGCTCTTTTTCCACTTGAGCTAGCTGGAGCTTGTATCTGGTGCTTGTAACTCCAAGAAACCTCTGCTGTGATATCTGTTCTGGCCACTGGGCCTTTCATTGTCTTCTCACTCCCCTAGCCCACCTGTAGCACCTCCAAAGGCCCTTCCTCCACTGCCCCAGGCCCCAGAGGGGTCTCTTTCCTCTGGACTTCTGCAGCTTTTCTGGCCTTCCGGCCCTATCTTCCCATGAGCAGGTCAGAAAGATGGCTATAAAGAGTAGGGGCTGTAGAAGGTTATTCCCTCCCTGCCTGACCTGGTATGGAATGGGAACCTAGCAGATCCCAGCAGGCAAGCATCCATGAATTAATTTACCCAGATGCCCAAAGTTGGCTTGTTT